CTCTTAATCAACATGCCACTCAGCCAGCCCAGGATTCTTATATTTTAAAAATTATATTTTAATTATACAAGTAACATCTCTTGTAGATTTCTTTTAATATACAAGTAAATGCAAACATCTTATAAAAAAGACCAAGTAAACTTACTAAACAAGATTTTCCTTTGTACCCTCATCCTAGATCTCTTCCCCTTTCCAGAAGTAAGCACCTAATCAGTCCTCAGATCCTTTAGTTGTTTTTGTTTGTTTGTTTGTTTTTGTTTTCTTTCTTACTCAGGTAGCCTTTATAAGAAACTTTGAAATTAAAACTCTTTCACAAGGGAGACATGAAATGACAAAACTGACAAAAAAGTCATTAAGAAAGGCATCCTAATTTAGGCAAGTATTTGTTTTTTTGAACTGTTATTATCTGCATAATATATGAGTTGTGATAAAAAAATAGTATAAATTAAAAAAATGTTTACACTAAAACACACATTATCATTAATCCCCCTCACAATACTCCCTCCTCGCTTCAAACATACTTATCCCATTGTTCTTGCCACTTTCTGTAGCAGTTCTGGAAGTCCTCTTTTGTAAGTGTTTTTACTTCATCCTCCATCATGACAACACTCCATGTCACATATTGCTTCTGGTATACCACAATATCTGTCAAATAAAAATATTATGGTGTGTCCTCATCCACCTTATTCACGGGCTCTGGCACCGTGCGACTTCTGGCTCTTCCCCAAAGTCAAAATGACCATAAAAGATAAACGTTTTGAATCGATTCAGGACACCGAGGCAGCCACAACAGCACAACTAAAGACACTCACAAAAGAGGACTTCCAGAACTGCTTCAGAAAGTGTCAAGAATGATGGGACAAGTGTGTTCAAAGCAAGGGGGATTAATGTCAATGTGTCTTTTACTGTAATAAATTGTTTAAATTTAAACATTCACTGTATTTTTTTATCATACCACATATAGTGGAAAGCAGAGAATTCCAAGTTTGTAGAGGAAGAGAGATACAGTATGTATATAGTTTCCTTTTGGTTAATTCATAAATGTAACTTATCATATGTATTTTTTGGTTTTCTGAATGTCCAGAATAAACATTTAATATATGTCCACATTCAAACTTAACTCCAAAAACCCATTCCAAAGTGGGTGTGTTAGGGATTATCTGCCATATCTGATTACATCATTATATCACAGTATGGTAGAAAGGACAGTAGCTTTGTAGGAAGCTTGCCCATGCCACCTAGTAACTATGTAATATTGGGTAAGTTAAATAACTTTTCTGAATCCCAGTTTCCCCATTTGCCAAATGGTTACTGTGAAGATTAAATGCGATAATATGCAGATTTCCTAACATAGTACTTGAAACTTAATAAAGTCCTCAGTAAATATACGTTCTCTTCCCTATGCCCCATTAGTATCCCTAATAGATAGTGCCTATCTCTATTGCCTTGCACTGCTTATCTTAGAAAGAAAGGTACTTTCTCTGTAGAAAGACTCAGTAAGGGATACAAAAAATGCTGCCTCCACTGTTCCCTTCCCTAATTCCCGAATAAAATCTTCAAAGAAAAAAAAATGCTGCCTCTTGTTACCCAAGCTCACTCCTTTCCAAAAGAAAGGTAAAAAAACAAAGCCAAAAAAACAGGGTCTCAGTGTTTTTAAGTTACAAAACCACAGAGGTTGCACGATTCCCAAAGTTTCTCCTGAAGCCCCCAGTTCTGTCAGGGGACAGGGGACAGCAGCTGAAGACCCTTCTTTTGACCTTTGATTTTCTTATAATTTAATGGAAACTTAAAGCTTTTTATAGCAAAGAGGCGTTTTCCCCTTTCATAGGTCTCTAAAATCTCAGCCAGGCAGGGTGCTTAGAAAGGAAACATGAAGTGTTTTGTTTTGTTTTTTGGTTGGCATGTTGGCGCAGGGCTGGAGTAAGCTAAATATTGGGGTGTTCTCTAAAGTTGGCCCCAAGTCAATAACTCTATCAGACCAGGCTGTCCAGTCCAAGGGAGGGAGAGGAATGGATTGGACAAGAGCAATTTGGGACCAGCTGGAAGGGAGGGGAAAGCTCTTCACAAGGCTATCAGTGCCAAAGAAGCTATTTTTTGTCAATCAAAGGCAGAATGTTGGATGACTTCCCATGGGATTGGGGCTGCTATCTTGGAGGGCTTAATCCCCTGATCCCACTTCTGTCTTCCTTTTTTACTTCCTGGTGTTCACCCAAAATAACATACTCATGGTCCTGACTGCACATGTGAGTGGTCTGAACTACCGTTCTCCTAGGAGAGCAACAAACTCTGAAACTGCTTTCCTCCCTGCCCATCCACACTTTCTGGTAGAAGTCCTTTCTTCAGTATTCAAAGGTATAACATTAAGGTTCATTATTAATTTCGAGGTTAGGAAGACTCTGATTTTCCAATTCAAATAATCCACGTTAACATGTGAACGACCAATGGTTGCTACTGTTGCTTTTTGAAAGAGGAACTCAAATGAATATTTACTAATCAGTAGAATGTCTGTAAGAAACTCTTTGGAGTAACAGAGTCCTGTAGGTGTCCCCCTGACCTTTGTCTCCTCACTCTCCCTGCCAGAAGAGAAGGGGGCCAGCTGCTTGGCACCTCACCTTTGGGGACAAACAACCCATGCCCTCTTGTATCAGTTCAGAGGTGCATGGTCTGAGTGGTCCCATCTTCTCATCACCTCCTTCATTGGAGAGTGGGACTAGATCGACCAATATTCTCAGTCCCTGTTTCTGTAAGACAGGAACATGGGCATGCACAAGCCACCATTCTTTTTGCTGTGATTGTGACCACCAGTAATCACACTTCCTCTCAAAGAAAGCCTTCAGCCTGAGGACCACATTCTTATCACTGGCTTCAGGTGAGGGCCATCTCCCGCTCCTCTTTCTCAGGCCCCTCCCTTTGTCCATTCTTACCTGCTGTCTGATGAAGCTGCATTCCCAGGCACAAAATTAGCAGTAGGAGGATCATATTCTGTACCGGGTCTGAAACAGACAATTGAAAGTCTCAGGGCCTTCTGCAGATTTGCTGGGTCTCATGATTTGGTACTTTGCTCACTCTTGGAACAAGGAGATGACTTGCAAGCAAATCATTGGGTGAGGCAGTGGACCATGGTGGAATGGAACTGGAAAAAGAATTTACAGGTTGATTGCCTGGAGGAGTGGGAAAATAAAGTAAGAGCCAGTGAGACACGCTGTATTCACCCAAATTAGAAGCTCTTCCTCCTTTTCTAATGGCCTTTTCTGAATATGAACTGTTCCTCTGTGTCACCCACACTAGTTGATATCTGCACCTCTTTGTCTTTCCCATGAAGACTTCCACAGCATCAGTAGTAGGCCCTTGAAAACCAACCTTGTCTGTTAAATGAATAAACCACACCCATTCTTCCAGCTGGACCAGACCTCTGGGAGTCAGACACTTTGGGATAGTGCTCAGTAGAACAGAGCTAGATTCTCAATAAATACTTGATAGTTGACTGAGCAGGTAAAGTAGTTGAACTACCTGTTACTAAGAGGTTTAGACAGGAAGAGCAGAGAAATAGCTCCGTCACCTGGGTGCCTGCCTTGGTCCTGCTCTACCTCCTATGCACCCACCTTTGCTCACAGCTTTTTTCCCACCCAAGAACCTCTAGGGTTGAAGGCAAAAGGGACAGGATACATGACTGTCAGATATTTTGTCCTCTGAAAGGCTTTGAAAACTGTATTAGCCATGGAACCGTTTCTTCAAGGGAAATTGATTGGAGCCATACACCTACATCAGGTAAAAGCACAGCTGCTCTGAGTACAATGGACAAAGCCAGTGGAGGACCTGGATCAGAATGATGGTGATCTCACTTACATTTTTAAAAGGGGACTCAGCTTTGGTGTAGACAATAGACTATTTGGGGAAAGAGAGCAGATTGGGAAAGATTAGAAACAGGATGATCAGTGAAGTACCGTATTTGCCGGCGTATAAGATGATTTTTTGGCCCTGAAAAATATGCCTCCAAGTGGGGGGTCGTCTTATACGCCAGGTACACTTCAGATAGACTGCCCATAGNTATATATATATATATATATATATATATATATATATATATATATATATATATATATATATATATACCACTCTTCTTTATCCAATCATCTATTGAAGGACACTTTGGTTGTTTCTAAGCAAAGTGTTTCTGCTAATTTTTACTTCAAACTTTAAACTATTATATAGATAACACAGTAAAACATCCATAGAACATACAAGTAAGGAAAGAGTTCATGATTAATGGTTTACTTGAGCTATTACTCTGAATCAATATTCATCACAGTATTTAGGAGATACACATTTCTTTCAAGCATTAATCCAGAAAAAATTAAAATAACTGTAATGTTTACCAATAGAAGACTGGTTAAATAAATAACAGCATGTCCAATGAAGTATATAAAGCCACCTAAAAATAAGGGATATCTATTTCCTGATATGTAAACTATAAAAAACATATACTTACCAATTGCTTATTAAAATTTCTTTTAATAATTTTTAGTAATTTTTCTTATGAAAAAAAAGGGCAGATAGGATAGAGTTATGGGGAGTGTTTGTGGGAGGAATTTATATTGTTGAGCTGGGGTGAGTGAAGAGTTTCTGGGGTGGCTGGCACAGTTCTCTTTCTTGACCTGGATGGCTACAAAGGGGTTCACCTTACAGTAATGTGATGCTTTACATTTGTTTTATGTGGTTCTCTGTATGTGTGGTATAAAGGTTTAAATGTAGAAATAATTTAAGATATTAAATTAAGTAAAATGAATATATACTTACCAGAGCTTATTAATACCCACCACCTACCCTAAGAACTAGAACATTACTAATGATGTATATCTACTGCTTCCAACAAAGGTATTTACCATCCTAAATACTGTGTTTATCATTTTTTAACTTATTTTTAACTTTATCACATATACATATGTGTGTGTGTGTGTGTGTGTGTGTATATATATATATATATATTTGTAAAAAGGACATTGTACTTATGTCATCTTCTGTGCTTGATTTTTTGTTTTTCCCTCAACATTATGCTGCTAAAATTCTTAGATATAGTTACATATTTTTGTACCTAATTTATTTGCATGCTGTATCATACTCCATTCTGCTAATACACAATGTATGCAGTCTCCTGCTGATGGGCATTTGGGTTGCTTTTTTTTTTTTAATGACTAACGATGCTGCTACAAGCATTATTTTTAAAATTTAAAAATAGAAATTTACATAGAGAGGGCAATAAGGAATTATAGTAATCCAATTCATATATCTTTTTTTTTTTCAATGAAGAGTGCAGGTCTAAGGGTGCACAAGAGCAATGAGGGAAGCGAGGTCATCAGTCTGACCACCCTGATAGCCGTGGGTTTCCTTGGACATAGGATGCTGTAGCTTGACTGCTCTCATGTGCTTTTGAAAGGATTCTTATATTCTTTTTTATTTTATTTATTTATTATTATTTTTTAAAGATTTCTATTGGGTAATTGGGAGAAGGGGAACAGACAAGTTGCTGTCCTTTTCTTCTTCAGTCTAGCTGTGGAGGATGTTGCTTCACTGGCCCAAGTTGGCACCATCATTGTGCTCTTCCCGGGCAAGGCAGATCAGTCACCAGTTTCTGGACAGCTGCTCTTGGAGGCTGCTGACCGCTCACGCTGGCTGCTGGCTACACATGGTAGCCCATGGCAACCCACTGCAGCAGGGGCTGCAGCCTACGCCATTGCNGCGAGTATATAACAAACTCTGTATTTTGAGTGGAAATGTTAGGGGGTCGTCTTATACGCCCAGTCGTCTTATACGCCGGCAAATACGGTACGTTTTTTGCAGAGATGATCATAGTTTGGATCAGAGTGGCGGGCTAGTGGAGGTAAGAAGTGGTCTATGGAAGGTTTTTTTTTTTAAAAGATTTTTATTGGGGAGTTGGGGGATGGGAACAGACAAGTTGCTGTCCTTTTGTTCTTCAGTCTAGCTGTGGAAGACGGTGCTTCACTGGCCCAAGTTGGCACCACCATTGCGCTCTTCCCGGGTGAGGCAGATCAGTCGCCAGCTTCTGGACAGCTGCTCACAGAGGCTGCTGGCCGCTCACGCTGGCTACTGGCTACACACGGTAGCCCATGGCAACCCACTGCAGCAGGGGCTGCGGCCTACACCGTCACCGGAGACCCACGGCAGCCCAGCTCCAAGTTGAGCTGTTGTTCAGCATCTTAGCTGTAGAGGTGTCACTCACCCTCATATGTGGGATCCGAACCGGGGCCCTCTGGCGTCCCAAGCCAGTTCTTAACCAGCGCACCATTCGGCTGACCCTATTGAAGGTTTTTAATATTTTTTTCTTTGTCCTCTAAATTTATTATTTTTTTCAATAGCTTTATTAAAGTATAATTGACATATAATAGGGGATTGTGTGTGTATGTGCACGCATGCGCATGTATTTGTATATGTACACATTTTTTTT